AAATGGCGGATTTTTTAGGGGTCTTGTCTTTATACATGCTATGCTTTCAATAAGAGCCTTTCAAAAACCATTCACTCCAACTTGCCCTTTATTGATGAACAAATTATTATTTCTGCAATGATGGTTTTCACTAAAGTACAGAATTAAGCAGATGCATTTATTTCAAATATGCAATTTTTTATATATTTTTTCTCGATAAATGTTTTTTTAATTTTTGTTTTCAAGTGATAATGTGTACTTTCTATCTGTTAAACAATGATATATTTATAAAGTGTGAAAGTTAAAACTTTATCTCTCACATTGTTTCGGAGCTATTGTAAAAATAAATTTTGGGACATGTTGGCCTTTGATGAATCCTTAAAATTGTATTTATTAAACATTATAGCTGGGACTTAACCAAGTACTGAAAAAATGCCATATGAAGCAAAAACAAAGCCTAGAGGCTGCGTTAGCTGTTATTTGTTTGAGTGCAGAACTTTTATGATCAATCTGAGTGATAAATTATGCAAGCGAAAAAATATGGATGCAACAAATGTTTCGCTTGTTATTAGATTTTACGTAAAGAATAACGCATATTAACATCACAAATATTCCATTAAGTGAAAATTAAAGTATTCTTTACAATATTTGATGGAATATGATACAAATCCCGATGAGTGTTTTTTGATAGATGACGGAAACTGCACAATCAAGTCATGAAAAAGGCCTGATTTCCTCGTATAATATGTAATACTGAATTCACTTATTGTCAAATATTTATATGCGTCTCTTTTTAATATGTGCTGAAAAGTAATAAAAGTTACTAGAAGCCCCTTACAAGACTGACTCTTTATTGAACCGAACCTAAATTAGTTTGAATAAAGAAAGACTTAGGCTTGCAATAATTCCTTTTAATGTTTGGAAAAGTAACAACTCTTCTTTATTTTATTAAATGAAATTTAAAAGCATGTTCAAATCATAATTTTGAAGCAAATATGTTTTGAATTTAGTACATGTATAATATCATTGTTGCTATGTATCTAAAATTTAATGTGCAGCATTGTAAATTTTCAAGTAATTCAATTTTAAAGTTGCACAATAACAAAACTATAGATGAAGTTTTTGAAACTTTATTGGAGAAAGTGAAGATATCAAAACGAGATCGATCTCAAAAACGTAGAGAGGGCTTAAAACACGGAAATCCTGATGTGGGATCAAATGCCTAGGAGGAGTAAGCATCTCCTGCTGAGCGGTCACACCCGCCAAGAGTCCCATGTATTAATCAGGATTATTACGTACTCAAATTCAGTATAAAAAAAACTAAGGCCTAACAACTGGTGTGAAACATATTATCCAAAATACGAACCAATGATATTAAGTTATATTTGCTATCAAGGTCATTATAAAGACCATAGAATTAAAGAAATTCCGATTGAAATCCCTGTAACAACAACTAATGTGTAAGTAGCCTACCTCGTTTAAAAATTGATCATAGACGAGTATGCTCTCGAGCGTAAATCAGTTGGAGGATATAAATACCTTTTGCGGGTGATAACAGCATATAACTACATAAATAAGGGAAGCTGGCGATGGAAAAGTTGAAGTCATTTCATTTGCAATGCAACTTAGTTGTAAGCTGGCCCTTACCATTTATAGTCAGAAACACATTCAAGTATAAAACAGATATAGCAAACTCTGTGATATCATTTATTTCAAGTTCACTGGGATTTATAAATTGACATATGGATGAAAGTATCTATTGTTAATTGATAATACATCGTCGATATTTTTAAATGTCGAGTTCAAGGACACAGAAATTGTTTTCGTCATCTCAAGTAGCTTTTCAATAAAATTTATTTCATACGAAAATAAAAACAGGCCAACTAATGAAGGAACACAATTAATGCTTATCGATATTCCAACAGTGTGAAGGAAGACTTGGTTTCCAAAGAATACATAAATGCTGGAACGCACGCATCCTTTTTCTATCAACTTCTATCAAGAGTACCTGCTTAAGGAATCAGAAGGATTTTAACAAACTATTCCTGTTGATGACAAATCACAAGATAGGAAAATTTTCGACTTCGTTTTTGTTGAAGAAGTAGATATTTATGGTATTAAAAGCCTACTTTTTAATTCATCATGAGAAATTGTGGCATTAAGTGTTGAAAATTCTAGGTTCTGATGATAGAGACTTTTGAATTTTTAAAAAGTACTTTGGAGGGTTTTTTTTTTTTTTTTGAGAATCCATATCTTATTTTACCATCTCTATAATATACTGCAGCCTAGTACATTTGAAGAGTGTCTCTCTTACCGCAGTCTGATGGTAAAGAGTAAAACTAGGGGCTTATTAGAGCTTTTGCTTGACTCTACTAAGTATTTCTGTTTGTAAAGTTTTTATGAAGTTTTGGAATCCAGTATAGGTAACGTAAATCAAATTCACCTTGATCGATTTGAATGTTAAAAGTTTTAAATACTGAAATGTGATTTTGAAGAATTTCATCTTTGGAAAGTGACCTGCAAGCATAAGTTGATTTCGTAAGGTATAACTTCAAAAAGTTCTTCTACAATCCAATGATAATAATTAGCTCCCCTTTTAAAGAGATAGGTCTATCACGGAGTGTAAAATCAAATATTTATTAAATCATATACCAACTGCAACAACGACAGTTGGTATTTGATTTTTGATAAATATTTTTTATCCCCTGACTTGTCTTTGACGATGCTAAACGGTTTACTCTGCATGCACAATGAGACAATTGAAGTACGAATAATTCTAAAACGTACTGAAAAAAAGACCAAGGTTTTAAGATATATTTGTAAAAGAGAGATAACCTGTTAATGGGATTGATTATTATTATTTCCTTTAAAAAATGTCAAGATAAGAGGTGAATTCTGTCAAAATTTGCACCAAAAGCTGTACTGATATTGTGTGATTTTAGATATTATTTTAGATATGGGGGGAAAATCGTTAATATTTTCAATTACGCAAAATTTGATTTTCGTGAACAGAAGGAGAATGAACCTATAACGATTAAACATGACATCTGTAGGCCTTATACGAAGGGTGGTGATCAGAATATCTATGGTTCACCTCTCTGAACCTTGTGTACTTTAGCAAACCAATATCATTATCTTTTGATAATTCTTTATGTCGGTGTATTTCAGTTTCTAAAAGAATTTACTTATTTACATGTCTAACTGAAATATAAAGGCATAAATCGTCTGGTTACATAAACTCTTAAGTATAAACAGGAAATTACAGTAAAGTGTATTTCTGTTAGCGTAATTCCCTTTCATTAAACTTCACTCACAGAAAACCAGTATTATGGCGCTCATTCTCTTTTGTCTCAGAATAACATTCTTCGATTTCCTGAGGATAAGGGGGACATTGAATGATTAAGGAAAGAGGATTATCCTCTGGTATCGGGGGGAGATCCTAAGGTCAATATCAGAATAAACTGCCTTGTTTGGTTTCGTTTGTAGATTGTGATCCATCAAGGTATCGTAATGTTCTTTATGTATAGGTCGAAGTTCCTGATTCTAAGACGATGACGGTTCTGTTCCGAGATTTATATTCCTCGCTCTGCACTAGACATCAGCTTTCAAGTTGCATGCAAAAATGCATTTTATAAAAAAAAATTCTAGCATTAAGATAGTTACTCCTTTTTTTTTCATTCTTTAGAACTGTAGTTGTGCAAGTTAACATGTGTACTGATAATGTTTCATCAATTATAAGAACATACCAGTATTTGAATGCATTTGAGATGATATATCAAATGTCTCTTTAGTAATTATTACAATAGTTAGTCTCACTTCACATTTATTAGTCAAATCACTTGTATATAAACACAACTTTGATTTCAAAGTAATTAATTTCAAAACTGTATTCCAATGTTAATAGAAGTATATGCAAGGATAAATCTTTCAATAATTAATTAATCTTCTTTTAAATATTTTGAGGGATTGTGGTGTAAAGTTCGGGTAGCACTTTTCTGGTGATGTTGTGAATAAGTGGATAATTACACTGTCTCTGTTGAACCATGGTAACGAGTCAAACATCGATCCACGTGAAACTTTAATATAAGATCTCGTTCAATTCTCACACTTTGTCTCCTTTACTGGTTCCGTATCAGGAAAATGTTAAGGGTTAGAGAAATTAAACATAGAAGTGCGCGACCTTATCAGACTTCTCGATAGTTTTCCCAAGTGTGGTGTTATTCATCTTGTAATTAATCTGTGCAATGAAATCTAAGAAATTTCAATAACAGACTTGTTAGACAAAGCTTAAAATCCAATTACGGAAGTTGTCTGATATGAAGTTTTTCTGTATTGGGTTCTAGTAGTAAAACCATCAATTTCATCAACAGAGTTGGCCTTGAAGTTTTCTTTGACCGACCTATCAATATACAAAATGTTTCAAATTCTTTTACTATAAGAGTTAATATGATCTTTGTTTTTACCTCCCCATTTTTAGCTCATGTGATTTAATTATCGTACCTAAATGAAGGAAAACCAAAATTAAAATAGACACTAACTACATTGTAGTAACATATTTTCTTAAAATAATGAACAGTGTAGGGACCAAATAAATTTTTTAACGTCTGATTCTTTAAATGTGGAATAAAAAAAGAATGACTTTTTGTAACCGAAGTTTGATATTTTTACAAGTTCACGTCCATCTGTCACTGATCCTACTAGTGTCACCAATCTTATTGTTACAGCGTCATATATGGTTATTTGCAGAGAATAACCATGGAAATCTAACATTTTATGACTGATATACTTGTACAAATCAGAATACGGTAACAGTATGTAGGTTAATCGATCTTTTAACAATGTTTACGCTCTCGCAGAATTTATATTGTCATTGTGTCATTACCAAAAGTAGAGGAAGGCCACAAAATGCAAAATTGGGGACAAAACAAGTAGTGCAATTATAAGTCTATCATTATTAGCAATTCGCAGCAATGAAAAAATGACTTGTTGCTTGTTGAAGTACCCTGGAATCCAAATAGAAACCAATATTACTGGTTGTCAATCAATACAAGCACAGCCTCAGTCTGGGGGACTGGATGCCTCTCCACGCCTTGCCGTCACCGACAGGCAATTGACTTTATCAAACGAAGATTTGTATTCGCTCTGTGCGTATTGATCAGTCGACTTAATACGGCATGCAAATTTACGGATTCTTTTTTCTCCTTGATCTTTGTTCCGCCACTAGTTGTATTTGCTTTGATCACTGTAAAACATAGAATGGCAATGTAATGACCAGTTTAAGCACTTAAGACACCATCACTTGTAATGGGATCCTTCACATTTTGTAGAAGACTATGGAATTGGAAGCCAGATCGTGTGGAGCGCTTTGAAAACGACGAACAAGAACGTTGCACGTGTTGGTCAGGGGAGGTGACGTCACCCGCTAAAATGGCGTTGATCGAACAAGGTGACACGGCCGCGCCTGAGAACTGTCAAAGACTTGTTATATTGGGCTCAAGTAAAGCAGGAAAAACATCTATTGTTTCACGATTCCTGAACAATAAATTTGATGATAGTTACACCCCCACCATTGAAGACTTTCATAGGAAAATATACCGGATCAAGGGAGAAGCTTACCGCTTGGATATCTTAGATACTTCCGGTAACCATCCTTTTCCCGCCATGAGGCGTCTGTCAATCATAACAGGTGAGGAACGTAAAAATATTTTTATAGAATTTTTTGATAGTATTTTTTACACGCTTTGCTATTTAGAACATTACTGGCTAATGCTGCAATTAGTTTTAACATTTTTGTTGTTCAGACCAAAATAGAACTAAATACATCTATAGAGTATGGGCAAATTATATTCCTGTCATTAAATACATGTGTACTAAATCCTTATTAATTAATATTGAAATCTGACTGATGAATCGTTTTATTTTTTTATAATTTAAAATAAAAATTCTTGCACGAACTGATATCTGATAAGATATTACTTGTAAAGCTCGGTCAAACTCTAAGGTCAATATCAAAAGTATACTAGTACATGTATACGCCAATGAATATGCTTTGTCACAGTGAATATGCAAGTGAATTATGACAGCCCTTGCATCAACTGTTCAAAATAACGAAGGCTAAAGTTTTAAAACATTTTGCAAGCGCCAAGGCCAAGAAGTCAAATTTGTTAATATTCAAAAGAAGGTCTTGTCACAAGGAATGTACTTGTGCAATATGAAAGCCATAGCTCCAACCAATCAAAAATTATGAGCAAGGTTTATGTTTTTTATGACAAAAAGCAAGAAAAACAGACAGGGCATAAACAAAATATTAGTACCCCTGAATCACTGATTACGGGGGTATAAAAATAAAATAGAGTGTAGAAAAGTAGAAAGGGCATTCCTTAATTTGTATTATGATACACTATGAATAATTAAAAACTTTTTTGCAAATTTGTTGTTTTTCTGAAAGTACACATTTGCAACTAATTTGACAAACAGGCTAACAATTCCTAAAGCAGTGTGTTTGTTTTGATTGCTTGTATGTTGTTTAGCGTTCCTCTCGAGAATTTTTCACTCATATGGAGACGCTACCACTTTCCGGTGGAAAGCTACACATTTTGTCCTATTTACGGGTCTTTTTCGTTCTAGCACCTACTGCAACACGGGACCTCGGTTTATACGGTCTCATCCGAAGGTCCGGTCTCGACATTCCATTCACAGTGGGATTCGAACCCGCGACGTAAGAATCAACTCCTTACAATGCGACTCTAGAACAGACGCTTTCACCACTTCACCACGCGGGCGACAAGAATCTCCAATAAGGTTCTTATTAAAAAAATAAGTTCTTTTCATTCTTTAGAATCTGTTTATTATCACGGTGTTCCAGTATTAACCCATAACCAATTATAAGTTGTTTATTGTAGCGTTTGTTATGAAGCTGTAAGAGTCCCTTTAACCATTGTGTTTATGATGCTGAGAGATGCCGTGCGAATTATAATTTGTAGGCCACTGACATACTCCGTAAACTATGTATAACATAGATTAGTTGTCTTGTACAGTTTAATAATAAGATACACAATTATAATATGAGTATGTGTTTTTTTTTAACTTAAGATTAAATAGTTAAAAGTATTAAGTTAAAGAAAAGGGGGGTCGTCGGTAGGGGGTATTCCCGGGTATACAATATCCTTATTTCGAGATTCAAAATTCATCTCAAAATGTAAAATCTTTTGTAAGACAAATCATTGGTGGAGTATAATGGATTAATGCTAGAAGATCATTCCATGAAAATTCAATGTTGGTTTATTCCTTAAACGAAATATTTGTATTTGATACATTTTTATTGTAGGGGATCTGTTCCTTTTGGTATACAGTATAGATAACCGGGAATCCTTTGAAGAAGTGGAGCGTTTGTGTCAACAGATACAGGAGTGCAAGACTCAGTGTAGGAATAGAGAAGGCGAAAGGCGCCAAAGAGGGGCCATTCCTGTAGTTGTCGTTGGCAACAAGTGTGATAAGGAAAAATCGCGCGTGATAGACCCAGCCGAGCCACTGCACCTTACCGAAATCTATGAGAACTGCATGTTTATAGAAACGTCCGCAAAGAAAAACATTAACATCGAAGAATCCTTTACAAGACTTTTTGACATGGGGAACCTTCCTTTAGAAATGAGTCCTTCTTTGCATCGGAAGGTTCATCCTTTCTACGTAAGCGGAAGTACTTCACAAACCGGAAGAAAGGGTATGTCCATTAGAAGAAAAATGTCTGACGCTTGCGGAACAATTGCCCCAAACGTCAGACGACCAAGTATACGCACTGACTTGATGGTGGCACAGATGAGAACAAAATCATCTAATCTAACCAAAGCTGATGTGAAAGAAAAATGTGCTATTCAGTGATTTTCGACGACGATAAAATGTAATTAGTGGAATATTGTCAGGTTTCTGTTTGTTTTTTTTTTTCCTTTCTGAATTTCTTTTAATCCAAAACTATAATAAATGTAAATCTTACTTGACACAAGCCTTTTCCTGATAAAGTTTCATCTTCTGCAGATGCTTTTTTCTGGAATTGTGAAGAATCAAAACATGCTGTAAGTTTCAAATTTGTTCAGATATTACTAGTATCCTACTGCTTTATCACTAATAGAGACTCAAATTTTTTCACAGAATTTAGTCAAAAGTATTTCAAAAATCCCGAGAACAAGACTGCTGCAATTTGTGGAGTTGATACGTAAATCTAAGTTTTATACTTTATGGTTTGTGGACGTTGTGAGATGAAAATTAAAAGAGGACAAAAATTCTAATTTTTAAACATAATATTTAAAAAGAATACAATTACTTTTCATATGGGTAGATGGAAAAGACATAATGGGTATGATATAACACATGAGAGACTTGTTATGTTTACTATATGATGGTTGTGAATATAAAATATGTTTTTATTATAATGAAAGGGTTTATCTTAGTTGTTTTTGAAACCAACAACGAATGAACAATTATAAAGTGGTCTTTTTAGTCATATCATCAATTAAATTCAAAACTCCAAATCGCTGGTATTAAAAGTACAGTGGGTTTTCTGCGTGGGTTATCTAAGAGTTTCTTTTATAACTGTTAGTAATTGTTTAGTTAACGATCACATTCAGTGCATGGGAATCCAATTTTCAAAATCACATGCTGTTTGGTTTAAACATGATGGAAGATATTGCCTTCTCAGAGCATCTCTTCCAAAACGAAATAATATCTTTTGATCATATCAAAATACTTGAATTTTGTAAACGAGACCTGTTGGGGAGGTCTGGGAATGAAACTAGTTCAAATCGAATGCAAATAATTGGTAATTACACAGCCGGTTTCATTAATACAAAGAAATCGAAGACATCGGTTAAAAGACAACAGTCAAGATTTGTTGAATAATGCAAAAATATTAGAATTAATGACAAACCTCGCAGAGGAGGTAATGCTTGTTAGATGGAGACCAAATTACCCCCAATCAATCAAAGCTCAGGGACGTTTAATTGAAAGAATAGCTGTTTGCTGAAGAAGAAAAGTTAAACAAAGCAAATTAATTTATCTTTTTTTGTCACAAGACAAGCAATAAGCCTCGTCGTTCGTGTAATTTCTCTTCTCGTGCGGAATCTAGTGTGACGTCGATAATTCTCACTCGAATACGAGGCCCTCCATGAACTCTTAGGTCGAAAGTACGGACACAATCAGCAGCGGAATACGAGGGGCGTTCAATAAATAATGTCATCAGGGCTGGGAAAGAAACAAAAATCGCTTTTCTATGATTTTGTCTTAATGATTTAACTAAAATGTTCTCTTTTAATTAAAAGACATGTCCGTTACATTTTTATTCAATTTCTAATTGTTTTTAGAACACAGTTTTGAGTATGACCCTTCGTATACTGGAAAATGGCAGATCCTATGATTTGCCGTGCTTGTTTTTTTCTTTCTGAAAGGTGTTTTCCTAAGTTTGGGAAATGAAACAAGTCAAAGATTGAATGATTTGGCGAATATTGTTGATATGACAAAACATTAACTTTCTGTTTACCCCAAAACTCCTTTACTCTTCATGGCCTGTGGGTTTGGACGCTGTCAGGAAGACATTTAATGTAGTGAATTCCTCATTCTGTTTCCTTCCTCTCATAAACCTTTCAATTTGTTGGCAAATATTTTGCATACTACACTCCTCCAGAAATTGAACTACCTCACTATATATGTATTTGAACAACAAGACCGCTAATATTTAAGAAAATAGCGTATAAAACTGTTTTTGTGTTCTTGCAAATTTTTGCTCTTCTTAGGCCTTTGCAGTTTTGTCAAGAACTTCTTATTCTAAATTTGTTTTGAGGGTTCAACGCAAAATGGATTCAAGTTTCATGATCTGTTTGAATTTCAGAAAAACGTGGATAAGAACAATTTTTGATTTTTTAAAAATAATTGTTTAGATTTTCTATACGCTCTCGTTTTCACTCATATTTATAAATATAGGGTGACATTTGAGTATTAAACTTTTTTACAATCAAATGTTTCTTTAAAACAGTGTGAACTACCCCCGATATAATGTCTATCAAATTTGCTATGTAACTTAAAGTCAATAAAACATAAATCTGTGATAATTTGTTGAATTATCGCTAATATACATTGGTTGTTGTATGTCCTTGTTGACAAGGAGGGTACCCATTTTTGATGACCATTATATAATTTTTGTTAACTAAAATCCACCTGTTCATGTATGTATGAAACAGACATAAGTTGCTGTAAATTTCACATATTTCAGTTAATATATTGTTGGGACATTTACAAGTTTTACAGCAGCTTTAATGACGCGTTCAATTTTACTCTAATTTACTGATTCTTGACCATTCATTTTTAACGCAGTGTCTCGAGTAGCCTTTGTTTTCCAGCTTCCCACAATGAAATTATGCGATGAAAAGTGGTCACATAAACTGTTATCAATTCATTAAAGATTCAATAATTAGAGAAAGTCAAGCTTAATGTCATATGATTTCTATGTTGTATGTCATGGAGCTGATGACATTATTTATTGAACGCCCCTCGTACTATAAACAGCTGTGGTCTTCATTTCATTCTAAAGGCCGGCATACACTGTAAGATTTGTATTATAATACAAAATCTTACTGTGTATACACTCTTAATACAGTGTGTCATACGATTTTTCGAATCTTGTAAAACTGTATTAAGAATAGAGCAATGCTCTGTTTCTTAATACAAGTCTTAACTTACCTTTCACTTTCAACCAATCAAATTTACTCCCATTGGGGGTCATCTTATTTATATCATTACTAGAAAAAGCACATGGTAAATAATAATGTCCGAATTTACAAAGAAGTAAATCGAAAATCTCATAGTTTCATGGGAAGGGGAAGAAGACTTGTGGAATATATCAAGCAGTAGCATAGTACGATGATAGACACAGCTATATTATTTTGACAGAGAGAGAAATATGGCAAGGGAATTAAAACACATGGGAATACGTAGTTTAATTACAATCTTATAAGATATGTATTAGCATGTCTACAGGGAAGTATTATAATACTTATATTATACTACAAATTCCATCGTGTATACCGGCCTTAACTTACATACCAATACCTTGTTATTGTATATATATTTACATTCAGTGTAATTTTCTTTATGAAATCCATTAGAAATCCAAGACGTTCAAATATCTACAACACACGGGAAACCTTGTCACCGCGCGTTAGTATAAAGGAACTATATGCATTTTCAATTTTCAACTCTAGGAACACCAAAATGCACATTGTATTGGCACAATTTTAATTAAAAAAATAACCCTGTTAAATTAACGTAAAAATACACGATAACAATACTTCTACTCTACAGAAAAATGATTCTACTCACTTTAACAATCATTCTACTCATAGTTAAAATAATTATACCCACGATAACAATACTTAAATGAAGAAGACCTTGACACGTTGCCAAAATGGATAAACTGTATCAGATGCATATTAATGACATTAAGCGACTGAGGGGCAAATGAAAACCAACTATCCTTCTGTGTTCAGTAATTCAGAAGTGAAAAAAAGAATTAGATAGATTATTCAGTCAGTATTTATTGGTACCTGCTAACAAAGCAGGTAACAACATTGTCTTTGTAAGGCTCATTATTTAAATTGTATTTTTAGAGGAATTGGGATTTAACTCTACTTATGGTAATCAAACTTACACCCAAAGCTCCCTTTCTAAGGAGGAGATTCTTCAAAATCATATGCCAGTTTTCAATGTTTTCAATATTCACAACAACCAAAATGAATTTGAATTACCATATTTATATTGGATTCCAAAACTTCATAAAAAAATTCTTACAAAAATATTAAGCGGGTTCCAGTAAATATTCTACAAAGCCTCTTTCCTTACGCCTCACTAAAATATTAACAGTTGTAAAGGAGAAACCTCAGGAATACTGTCCAACAATATATTCGAGAAGTGGTGTAAATCTTACGTAGATTTTTAAATTTCTAAAAAACTTTTGGAATATTTGAAATCACAAGAGTTTACCAAAATCAGCAACAAAAATACGATATTTAAACTTTATATACAACTATTCCGGAAGATAAATTAAAGTTCGGGCTTCTGATATCAATGACAGGTGCTTTTTTATTAAAAAAAAATAAAATAAAAAAAAATAAAAAAAGCTACTCGAAAATTGACTTACCTTGTCACTGGTCATTTGCAAAATTATTTTGTTGAAAAAACATTCTGATTGTACAAACAGGTACTCTGAAAGTGATTTTAAAAGAAGATTGAGTTCTGATTGACAATATCTATGTGGTTTTTGGAGACCAGGGTCTTTCAACAATCTACTGAAATCCGCATTGGTACCAATGGCATCCCGTTATTAGTAGAACTATTTTTTAATAATTTGTATTCATTTCAAGCAGAATTTGTTTAAAATCTTCAACGTGAAAAGAAAACATTTGCTGCGGCCTTCAACTCGACATTTAAATATATCGACGATGCATTGTCAAGTAATATTACTTATTTCCATTCTTATGTCGACATGATATATATATATATTTCGATGAGCTTGAAATAAAAGATACCACAGGGTCTGACACATCTTTGGATTTTTTTTTTACTAGAAATTCACGTCAATAGTAATCTGACAACCAAGCTTTATGATACACGTACTGACTGTAACTTTTCAACTTCCCTTACTTATGCAGCAGTATACATCATCACTTGCATACTGGGTTTATATATTTTTGTCAATTCGATACGCTAAAGCATGTAATGCGCATGACCGATTTCTAAAACGAGGTAAGTTATATTGACAAATAAGTTGCTGAAACAAAAAAAAAATATCAGCAGTCTCGTTTTGTCATCATTTCGTAAGTTCTATGGTCAATGACCCTGTCAGAAAATTCACTCTATCATTAAGTCACATGCTGACTGACATTTTTCATACCAATTGTTAGACCAGTATTTACAATGGGGATTGACGACGGATTTTTTACGTTATTTCCCGAGGATGACCAGGAGCACACGGCGAATGTGACCGGTCGGCAGGGGATACTCACTCCTCCATGGCACCTGATCCAATTTTACTGATTTTTAGAGATGTGTGTTTGCTCTGTTCCAAAGTTTGTTGTTTAATGGACATCTGAGCTTTAATACTGTTCGTTATCTTTATAACTTTCATTTGAACATATTTGAAATTCGTCAACCAAGGATGTTTTGGCAAGTTACGTTAAGTTGTTGTTTTGAAGAAGTCAAAATGTTACAGATGGGCAACAGCAGAAAAGCTCACTTGAGCATACAACTCAGATGAACTAAAAGTGAATTGCAAGTAGAGAACCTTTCACACCTATTTATGTAGTATAAAGTCTCAGAAAAATCAACACAATAGTCTCAGAGGAGAGGGGAAAATTACGACAAAGCTGTTCAAATCGAAAGAATTTGATCAGGACCCATAATTCCAAAAAAGAGGTTCACTGCCTAGGTTACTAAAGTTTGCCATCCTGATTATTCCTTATCATGCCTGTTTGAACTTTTTCAATACAAAAAAGCACATATCCCTTTCGGACTACTGCATTATTTGTAATTATTTTCCAAGAACAAAATGAAAAATTAAAAATTTTGACTTTGAAATTGCTAAAACAAGAATATTTCTCAGACACAGATGGTGCAATTGTGCACATATTTTAGTTGGAATTTTTTTCTTTCCTGTGACTGCTCATTGACAAAATTACTTTGTCAAATATCACTCCGATGCCTCACACAAGTACTCTGAAGGGAAACATACAAAGAAAGTTGATATTAAAAGGATGCTGGAGTACGTTCCTCAATGGCAACATTTATGTTGTCTTCGAAGACCAGGCCTTCCAAAAAACTATTGGAATTTTGATTTGCTATAATTGTGCTCTATTTTTTCATATCTGATCTGGGTTTTTTATTCTTATGAAGCAGAATTTATTTAAAACCGTGTTCGTGAGATGAAGAAAACACTAAGTCTTACTTCGGGCTTCTACTCGATATTTAGATATATCGACGACGTATTACAATAGTTACATAAATTCATATGTCAATTCGAGTGAACACGAAAAAAAAAAACACATAGAGTCTGCAACATCTGTTTCATATTTGAATCTTTTACTATATTATAGACTATATATGTTTTGACTGTATTATGATACGAGCCAACTGACAACTGAATTGTATGACAAATGAGCTGACATCAACTTTTCTTCGTCAAATTTCGTGATTTTTTTTTTTATAGAAACATCCCGTTATCACCTGAATATCGTGTTTACATCTCCCAACTTATTCGCCGCAAAAGATCATACTCGGAGTACGATCAGATTTTAAATCGAGACAGGCTACTGATAGATGGAATGTCAGACTGCTCGGCCCAACGACACCTCGGCCCAACGATACCCCGGCCCATTGACACCTCGGCTCCGACGGCTCGGCCCAAATTTGCAGACACCTCGGCTCACATAAAAGACACCTCGGCCCAAACAGAAATTAATTTTTTTAATAAATATATTTATTATTTATGCTGTTATATATCTATGAAACGCAAAAGAAAATTAATTTGATACATTTGCAATCTTCCAAGACGGCAAATTGACGGTAATTAAAGAAAGACAATCCATTAGTAACTTGATTGTAAGTGCTAATCATTAAACAAACAAGAAGACGCAGTGCAGTCTCAAGCACGTGTCATAAGGGGTGGTGACTATGAGGAGTTAATTACGAGAAGCCATAATTGGGAGACTTACTCATGTTAATGAAAAGTTCCTTTAAGAAACCATTGTTGATATTTTATTGAATTGATTTGAAAAAAAATATGAGTTTTCAAAATTAAGCAGTAAAATATATATATCAAAAATAAACAAATCAATAAATCTTGCGGACCAGTGCATAATCTTCTGTGTATACCTATTACATGTACCTCCCAATCAGCAGATTGTAATTTGATGTGCTGTGGTTTGTTAGAAAATACTGAAATATTGAAATAATCGTATATTTATAATATACGTATAGTGATTAAATATACACATATAGTATAATTTTACATTACCGTGGCATAGAAAGTACAAAATAAAAAATTAAACTAATTTAAACAAAGTAAATTTTATTTTATTCCTTGGGCCGAGCAGTCTTCGGTATGGGCCGAGGTGTCAATGATTTTGAGCCGACCTGTCAGGGCCGAGGTGTCAACCAGCACAGGCCGAGGTGTCGTTGGGCCGAGTAGTCTGTCTACCGATAGATGAGTTGAAGTTACATAGATTTCAACAACCTCGTCTAAAGTCAGTATTTCATAAATTCTACGGTCATTATAATGACCTTGTTAGCAAATATAACCTAACATTGAAACATACTGGTATTTTAGCTGACATGTTTCATACCAATTGTTAGGCATTTGTTTGTATATTGTATTTGACTATGGAATACTAGTAACCTTTCTACCTGATCAATACACAGGGCTCATGACGGCTGTGACTGGTCAACTAGGGATTCTTACTCCTCCTAGACACTATTAGTTATCCAGGTTCAATCAAGGGTGTACGGGGAATTAGCCCGGGTTTTATTTCATACACCCTGAGGCCGAAGGCCGAAGGGTGTATGGAATACAACCCGGGGTAAATCCCCGTACACTCTTGATTGGATCTGGATTACGAATTTATTTCCTATGTACTCATAAAAATGCTTTAATTAGTTTGTAAACATCAGAGTGAATCTCAATCTATGGATAGGATAACTAGTTACTACAATGCATCGTGATGTCATGTTATTTGGTTTAAACCCGGCTAAAGTCGGGTGCACGGATATTTACACCCGACTTTATAACCAATCAAAGCTCGTGTTACAAGCTACATAGGAAATAAATGATCCCACCTTTAGAATTTACAGGGGTCATTGTTTTTATGCCCGTTATCGGGCTCGTAATGCTACCAAGTCTAATAAAAAAAATTGCCCAATATTCTCATCACATATAATATAACGGCCTTCGCGACCAGATGAGCTAAAAGTTGGGATAATACATGTATTTTGTTCGATAAGCAGTTATTTTTTATCAGGTGAGCTAGAAAGTAGAGATATTTTTTCTTCTATAATTAGGTATCGCTTTTTTTAATATAGTTATCCGTTCATATTTTAGAGGGATCATAAATAAAAAAAACCCTGAAAGAATTGTCTCTTACTTTCATTTTTTACCCCGATTGCTTTTGAATTCAGAGTAAAATTACCAGGAAAAAAATTGCCTGTCAAATACAGCCGTACGGTGCCTCCTCTCTCGCCTCTGTAACATGTTCGAGAACATCTTGCATATATTCAAGACAATAGATGCAACTTTCTGCTTCTCCAATCGCTCCAATTCGATGACATATTGAAATGTGTCCAAATCTGAGTAATATGACTTTTAACCGGGCGCTTGTCATTGTGTTCATGGATTTAAATTCTCATTGGGAGGCATTTTGAGTAATGGTGGTCGTAAAATCTGAAATTTCAATACTTTGTAATGTGGCCTTTGCACAAACGACACCATTATTACTATTGCAGAAAAGGTTATTAACCAAAGAATGAATCGCCATGATCAGCAAGCTAACTAATCAAAATAAGTCCTTGACATTTTTGTTTCTTTTTCCTTTTTATTCAGAATACGTTAAACCTATTGCATGTTATTAACTATGTTATTTCCTGGCTCTATTCACTGAACACTCCAGGTTCCTGTAGAAATCAATGTTCTCGTTACAAATGCTATAGAACACAAAGGTGTTCACAGAGTCACCAGTCTCCACAATAAATGTTTTATTGCAGTCCGACATGTAAATATGTTGACTCTCACTGTCAATGGAAGCATCTCCTTTTATTGCTCCGGGGTCGAATTAACATGTAAACAGAGTTTAACTATGATGTCTGTCGGTAGTTGTTACTTTGAACTATTGGTTAAATAGGGTCACGTTGGCCCGGTCCTGAAACAGTACTGTCCTTGAAACTGAGGAGCAAACTGTTTCTTTTTAATCTTCCTGTCCACCAAGCGACCCACAATCCTATCGTATATCCGTTTCCGGTGAGATTGCCAATTGACATAGCCCTGAAGTTGTCGTTGTAAGGTTTCATCGTTTGGAAATGGGGACTCCTGTTGGTCAAATGAAAATAAAAATTTAGGGCTAAAACTGGGCTGTTTCAACAGTTTGATGAGAGAACAAGGTTCATGACTCTTAAACAAACGTATCCTTATAAAAAAAAAATCCTGATCAACGTTATCAACAACTACAAAAAAGGTTTATTTTTATTCGAATATATTAAATTCAATTCATAATCTTTTAATCTTGCAAAATCTGAAATTCAATAAATTATTATTATACATGTTTTATGTACTATGTAGTATTTTATTTCAATATGACATTCTTTATTTTAAAAGGTCTTCATATACGCCTAAAGAACTTCAGTCTTTATTAAGCTGATAGACGGGTGTGCAAAGATTCTGAATTATGAGATAAATTTGATCTATTACATAAATAAATATACAAGTTAATATACAGGTACACATGATATATAAATAATATTGATCGTTTTTAACCTCATTTGTTTGTATAAGCTATGTTATTTGTAAGATGAAACTAAGATAAAGTCAATATCAGTTTAAAGCTCAACGACCGAGTAATATCACAAAAAAGGTATACTTCCTAAAGAAATGAACTGAAAAGTGAATATCTTATTATCAAAAAGCTTAAAATCCATGTCCATCTTCGTTTAATCCGTATCAAAATCACCTTCCAAAAAATTTATGGGTCTATATATATGCATGCTCAGCTCCAATAATGTAAATGACGTGACTGAAAGCCAAATGATACATACCGACTGATAGATGCTCCGCATTGTGGCGTCTGTTTTCTTTTCCATGAAGAACTTCTTAGAAATCATTATACATTCAGCACCATTACTAATTACTGACATACTTGGCTGGTCCTGATAGATCATATTAGCTACACCCTGGCCAAAAAGGACAAAAATATAACTACTGAGTGACCATTCAAATCATAAAAAAATCCAACAGGCTTGTTAGTGTTTTATTTATTCTTTAAGCAATTGTCATTGTGCCATTACAGTGCAAAATATCACCATTCAAAGTCTAGATGGAAGACAACAAAGTGTAAATATGTTATCAAACTGGAAGTGACTGAAAAAGATATTCCAAACTTTCCAGTAAATGCAGTGAATGGTGGCAAATTGAGTTAGGGATTTCTTGATCTGTCTGTCTGATTACAACCCCATATGTTTAACTTTGCCAGTTCTTCTGATACCCGATTCTAACTTCATTTTAGATTCATTCATTTTTTCTTCTTTTTTGTTTGCTATAATACTCACGAAGTATTGTCCTTTTTCGAGAACCTGAACCACGATAAACACGGGGTGGAGATCCGCCTCTGTCAGCACGACACGTGACGGCGGGCGGTTGTCGTACTCATTTACGATCGTCTTCCGCCCCTCTAACTGTGTGGACAGTTTATGTTGGAGGTCTGTGAAAAAATCAGGTTTGTGTGATTAAAAAAAATCAACGTATGTTTTAACATGGGGTATGTATGAAGGATAGCAAAAAATATACAAATCTAAAATGGATTTTTTAATTCTGTTTAAAATAATTTGTCTATTTGTCCATAGTTTTCATGGGTTTTTTCAGTTTTAATATAGACATTTAATTTATCGGAATATTTTCATTAGTTTATGAGCAGATGATCTACAGAAGTGATCCATTGGAAGATTCACAGCTAAATAACTGTATGTACTGTATATTCATGAAAAATCAGTTTTTGATGTTTTCTTGTTTTTCCTGTCTCTTTTACTGACCTTTTTCTTTTCGAGTGATTTCCTCCGATAATGAAGCCTTTTTATCCTTATTTCTCTTTATGGAACCAGAGGATAGGTATGCGCCCTTCGAGAATAGATAAAAAAATGTCAGTCGTTTTGCTGACTTCAGTTTAAAAAACGCCTTTAAAAAACATGCTTATGAAACAGAAAAAAAGACTTTATCCAACACAAATTCCCTTTGGAACAATAATCTTATGTAAAAGAACGAATTTTTTTGTAAAAAAAAAAAATAAATAAATAAAAGTCAATCCATTGAAATGACTTCATTGTTTATTTGTACTTCACTATATGGCGATATCATCATAAATGTCAAAACCAAACATTCAGTTATTGGTAAACAAAATACAAAGTTATTTTTAGGAAGTGAGTAGTTACACAGACACAGAATATACCATCAGTGTGTTGTTAGCATACACATTCCTAGTATTTTACACATTTTAATTAAGGGGGGAAATACATGCGATTTTTATCCTACCGTGTACAACGCACTATTCTGGGAGACTGTGTTGACCACACTCTTATTGAAGAAAAGTAAAGATATTTATTAATCAATGTATTTTAACTATCAGTTACCGATTTATTTTCCCTTATAATAACAAGTACATTTGTATGTATTTAATTGCTACCATTATATTTTTTTTTATTTCATTGTGTAGCGAAGACCTGAAAGATTATTTTGCTCTTCAAAAAAAAAAAAAAAACAAAGCAAAAAAAAAAAAAAAAAAAAACTAAATGAAAAACCAAAACCAAAAAATTTAATCAAAGAGAAATCCAAGCAATAGAATCTTTATTTCCAAGATATAAATAAAACGGTGTACGTTGTAAACGTTTTGTACCGTTCTTAACCACTGTTTATACCTTTGACGTTTTGTGTATCTGAGGCAGACGCAAGGGCTCTTTTTCCGTTTTGTCCGAAGCCTCTGTGTCTGTTTCCGTCTCTCGTTTGTCCTCGGTCGGTTCTTCCGGTTCCTGGTTTTTCAAAAGACGGGTTTTGAAGCTACTAATGACGTCATCATAGTCAATTACTCCTAGTCTGTCACGTGTGTTATAGTATCCAGGAAGTGTTTGGTCCTTCAAATAAATTCGAGATAACAACTATTACAGATACCCAAAGTCATAATAAAAAAGAAGATATACATGTAGTATGTTACAGAAAGTTGCTGATTTACCAGACGTCTATCCAACTCATAGTTGCTTTTGTAGGTTTCCGGTTCTCTCTCAGATAAGGGTCGCTTGTGACGATTATGTAATCTGTACGACCAAGTCCCGAAGGATTTCGAAGTAGCTTCAGTGTCATTATCTAATGATTTTCCTTTAAAATTATTAATAAAAGTTTTAAAAGAAATATTCGATATCGGTTTTATACATTGCAAGAGTATTACTGATGTCATTGATTTATATTGAATATATTTGCTTCGCGAATGAAGAATTAAATGTGTGACTCAAACCTGTAAAATAAATAAAATTGAAAATCGTATGATTAAATGAGGATACAAAGTTATGTATGTTGCTTACCTGGAATAGTATGTATTGTTCTGGGGCGGCTCTTTTCTGGTTCTACTTTTTTTAACTTCTTTACGACTGATAAACTGCCCTATAAAATATCGATGTAAAAAGAGTTTTATGAATTATTAAAAGAATTTGTAAAATGGTAGTGTACTGATTTGTTGAACTTTTTAAAATCAATGAAAAGACAAGCAAAAAAGTGGCATTGGTTTATATGAATGATTAAAAAACCAATATTAAACGCTGTACGTTTCTTCTATAATGTACAGTGAGTGGTACTTGGCGGTTGGCTATGGCCCGCTCCATAAAGCCGTGTCGACAGATATTACCAACACATCCTTCCTTCGGCGATGAGTTTTTGAAGTTCATAATGCCCTATAGAATTTTTTTCTAATCTGATTTGAATAGTATGAGAACTGATGAGCGTCGGTCATCATAAAAGGTAATCCATAATCTAGATCAGGATCGATCCTCTGGAATAAGAGGCTGATTCATTAAATCTGGAATTTTCGATTGACAAGGACTGGAAAAGGGAGCAAAGATGATTATGCTGGTTGATGTGTGTCCGCCAGAAATTCTTCAAAATGTTAGCCAAATCGTCACGTGCAAAATTAAATTATTCTGATTTGAAGACAGCGCCTAACAAATAATTCTTATTCCGGAATCCAATTTTAATATATCTCCTGATATTTGAAACGATTTATTATACTAAAAAAATTGAATTAAACTATTTTAAAGATTAATTACAATGACGTTTTGACAAAACAGTCACATGTATTGATCTGCCATATGAAGAGGTTAGACTCTTAAATTTTGTACAAATTATGAAAGCATTGTCGTTTTTAAAAAGACTTAAGTCTGATAAAATCTTTTGATGGCTTAGTCGTGAGGAAAGTGATTTTCTGTTTCATTTTTTTTTTTCAAAAATGTTTGTTATTCCATAGATCTCCGTTTTCAATATAGTAAAGATAGTTTATTTATATGATTCGATTATAGGCTATTTGTCAGCTTTCTGAAAGGGGGGTGTTATTTTTTTTCTCTCTTAGCATTATCCGATTGCCAGAAGCAGATTCTGCGTTAATGATGTACATGTTCTTCTTTTTAAGAATATCAATTCAAAAGTTGAAAACTAAAACATTTAAAAAGGCATATAAAAAAGTTAAAATCATTTTTGAAAATCTTTTCAGAATTATTGATTTTTATGTAGAATATCGGTATTTTAATATAACATTATCTTCGCTTTGTTTGTAAAGTCAGATATGCATTTTTCTTTGTTTAAACAAATCTTTGTCGCTTGAATATGTAAAAGTAATTAATCAAAGATCTTTAAGAAGGTTATCTTTTTGAGGTTGAACTGTCTTTGTAATCGTTTTTTGATTAGATCGCAGATATAGCCCTGAACATCAGATCAAGATTCCTCAGGGGGACAGATAGATATTATATACTTACTGATTTAACAATATAGATCCAGTCTGACCTATTACTGTCTCGTACCAAAATCTCCCCACGACTGGAACGAAAGATTGAAGTCATATCATTGTATCAAAGCAGTTATTGAACGATATAAAACACAGCAAATCAAACAATACTTGACGTAGCTGTTGAAAGATATCCATTTAAGGAGCGTGAACCCTTCCGTGCTGCTATTCTTATGTCGCCACAATCAGTAACTTTACAGGAATCCGATTGCAATCTCCAGAACTGTTTACTACTGATTTATCATTACTTGTAGACGAGTTAGTTCTTCTTTATCGTTGGTATATTTAGAAATAAAGATAAATTATTAAAACTTACTTGAAATAGTGGAACATGCAGGCTTGTGGGTTCTGGGAGAGGGCTTCTATTGGCCAGTCCCGGAGACAGCGCACCTTGCTGGAACAAAAGTCTAGAAGTGAGTCCATCATATCATGGGACCGGTGTTTCAAGAGGCGGCTCGAGTTATCAGTAACCAAGGGTTCAATGCCGAGAAACTCTATTCTTGTACTTATCGATTGTTTGAAAATATTTATCGATATAAATACAAAACATTTAAAGACCTCCACCTGCCTTAATAATAAGAAATCGGCAATCAATGTGGGCTTCATTTAGTTAACTGGATTAAACTCTTCCCTTACAAATCAGATGTACGGGGGATCTACAGACTTACCCCAGAAAGGCGTTGTGTTTTGGATCAGTGATACTTTTTACGCCTCCCGCCATGAAAATGGTCTCAAAATCCTTCAAAAGTTCGTAAAAGTGAAAATACGTACATTTTTTCTTTCAAAATTTTAATAAGTCTCGATGAAGATTACTTTGAAATAAATTAAATACTGTACCTCCTTGATATTATATTTTAAGGAGAGCAACAAATGATTGAAATAATGACAAGAAAGGATTTTTAAGAGCCTTGTAAAATCCGCTTACGATTTAGGTCGGCGTGACTGTCCATGATAGAGTTTATGGACCGAGGCCGAAGTCCGCGCTCTATATACTCACCGAGGCTGAGATACAGAGGAGTTCCGTGTACGTCTGTGTGCTGACCGTGGCCTGCCGTCGCTTCTTGGTTATCACTGCTAATTCCTACATATAAAACAAGCCTCAGTTTCCACATTAATTTATTTCAAATGTTCCCGATCATTTATCGCCTCAATGTATTAAATCTACACTGGGCCCTTTAAATGCTATTAAAAGGCAAGTAATCTTTATTAAACAGAAGATATAGGAGTTTCTGTTGCAAATTGTTTATCGGGAAGGCTTCTGGTTTAATGATTATTGAAAAATAACAAATCCTGAAACGATTCAAATTAACTTTACTTTTTGAGGTGTGCTTACCATAAACTTTGGATAATAAAAGGAAATGGATTGAATCGAATGAAATTGCTACATGGATAATATCGTGAAGTATTACACTAGAATACCCGTAATCAGTTGTTAAAATCAAACATGTTTTGTCAGGGTGTTATGATAAAATTCTTTCACTCCCTTTGTGTCTTCAGATTTTACTTAAAAAAAATAAATTGATTCCATTGCGGCCTGCAGGTGCAACAACCTTATTAAAAAAAGAGAATAATCATACAATGAAGCCTGAGCCTTCATACAATGTCATCCACTTAAAATGAAGTCACATGGAGTTAAGGAGATCGATTGTCCGTGAATGTATATAGCAAAGCTTCTCATTATAACGAATGTTACAAAACCAGCTTCAGAATCGCTCCAAGTGATCATTATTCTTATTAATAAGAAAGATGAATAAAGATTTTTTTTTGTCTCTTGTCTGAGAAACACTTGGGAGCGCTAATTCATTCCCTGCAAATGTCTCGAGTACACATATCAGATACTCCAGGCATAAACCTTCTCACGTCCTTGGTACAAGTGAGTACTATAGGACTGAATTCATTCGAATGCGTACATGCATGATTGCAAAAGATAGAACTTGGCAACAATGCGTGGTTCAACTTCATCTTTACAAAATTTGACATCGAATATACAAATCATGATTGAAGTCAAAGAACACATACTGACAAGAAACAAATGTCCAAGAAACAACTTGTAAACTAATTTCTCAACATTTTAACCCTTGATACCAATTATCTGATCTTAACCTTAAACTGTTGTGCAGAACAATATGTTATATCATAGAGAAATTCAAACACAAAAAAAGACAAGAAATTTTCTTTTAAAATGCTAAAAAAAAAAAGATTCAATATTGTGCGAGAAGAGTTTGAAATTTATTTTCAAGTCTGTGTAAGTTCTGAACAAAGAATGAAATAATAGGATGATATGTAGATTATTACCCCAAAGGACATGCCTCTGTGCAGACTGACCAGCAGCTTAGTGTGACCGTCCTTCTTATTGAACGCCGTCACCAACACTGAACAAAAGAGACAAAAGTTTATTTATACCCTGCTATTACAACAAAATGGAATAATTTGATGTTAGACTACACAAGAACTGTGAAAGCCAAATTTGCGAATTTACGCCAGTAAGTCAGACTTCGTGTGGATACGCTAAAGATGTGAAAATTGTTTTCCGTGACAAGTTGACTTAAATGTGGAGATTTCTGAATCTGAAGGTAATAACAAGAAAATAAAATGACTTCTAATAAAACTTCAGTGCTCAACTGATTGTTGCGTGATGTTTCTTACTTAACCTATACAAAGGTTTGACTTTTATGGTTTCAAAGATTTGGATATGGTTTTGCTGTTATTACTAATGAAGAGATTATACTACACTGGTTGACTACTTTATTATTGATTGAGTCGGAGATCAGAACTGTTGATGCAGAAGCAGAGTTTCCGGGTTCACGTTGCTACAATAATGAATAAAAGTCGTTCATCGCTCGAGAATTGCTCAGCTCCAATAAAAACAATTTAATGAACAAAGAAAATTACTTAAAGAGAAAGGACAAAGTTACAACGTCAAACTGTTTTATCACTATTGTTATAGTCTTGGATGTCAGAAAATAAGACTGTTTATCTTGTGTTTAACTTGAAACCTTTTTTGAGATGGAATTAGGAAATTTTTTAATTGGTCCTTTAATTTTTTTTTAATTCATAACTATTTAATCCACTCTTTTTAATATACCAAAGTTGTACAAAATTGGTATTTCTAAAATGAGGTTGTCCTTGTATAATTTGTTTATTGAAACGGGTAGACATAAAAATATACCAAGAGACAAAAGATTCTGTAAAATATGTACTACAGAAATTGAAGACGAATATCATTTTTTACTTGTATGCCCAATGTATACAACATTACGATGAAAGGTTTTGAAAAAAATATTATTGGTATAGGCTATCTATGTACAAATTAATACAGTTATTAAGTGTGTAAAAAATAATGTGTAATTAAGGGAAATCTATCTATAAAGCCCTCGCGCTTAGAAATGATTCAATCATGTAATGGTGTGTCATTTGCCAATTTGTTTCTATTATATATTTTTTGATGTTATTATAACTGCTATACTACATGTACTTTGCATTAATCTCATATCATTCTCCACATGGACTGTAAAGACTGTTAGGGTGAGTTTGTATGTATGTATGTATGTATGTCTTTGATATGGATTTACAAGGACTGACAGGTGTCGCATAATATTTGGTCCGCCTCGTTTAAAGGTCCGGCCGGACCTAATACGATAACATATTTGGTCCGCCTTTTTAGAAAAACGTATAAGAAAAGGTCCCCCTGCGTTTTAAGGTCCGGGTGGTGCAAAATGTTTTAATCTTGACTTTAACATATGAAATTAAGGCTACCGGGTAGTTTGTTTATACTATATGATGAAAGAAGGATTAACCCTGTTGTGTTTTATTTTTTGTACAACATACATGTATCTCTAGATAGACAAGAATCTACTCGTATAGTGTGCTTTAAGCAGTGCCGTTAAGGGTCATGATTTCTTTAAAAATCATGCCACAATTAATTTGCAAGTGTTTGTTTTTCCTTAGAATTTGCTTTTTGTAAATTCGTACGATTAAAGGTGTGAAATCTGTCGGTGTGTATATATAGCTAATAAAACAATGGGTGTGTGACGTATTTGTTTACCTGACAGGTTATGAGGTACCCACAGGTAGAGCCCGCGGCAGATGGTGCTGTCATTGAATGGTCGGTGAACCTAATGGTCATGTGTTAGCTTTACATATCAACAGATCTTATTATCTTATTTTTAAAAAAATTATGCCAAGGAACCAAATATTCAGGCGTATAATTCAAAACTGCGACGTTTATAATAATTATAACCATACATGTATAACCTAGCTTTATAAAGCTAAATATGGCGTATCTGAGCTAAAAATTAAAAATACAAGATTAAGCGTAGATTTACATGAGATTTGGTTTTTATGTTCAAATTAAAATTTTCACCGATATTGAACTTAAATATCCCCACGTTTCTATTAGTTAAATTCAAACTAATTGAATTAAAACTGTGTCTGATATTTAAATTCCGACGATAAGAATCGGCCATTGTTTTAAATCTCGGATATCTATGAAACGCGATTGGTTTAAATTGTTTGATTTTCATTAAATGTTTCAGTCTGCATTCCATTCCGGATTTTTTTTTTTTTTTTTTTTTTTTTTTTTTTGGTTGAAATTTTAAACTTTTTATTTCCGACATTTTAAGCTTTCATTTCCGACATTCTAAAGCGTTCATCTCTGACATTTTTCAGGAAGTGCTTTCCGGTAATGAAAAATTTTAAAGAATAAATCATAGACTGTTTAGTAAATCAATGTTCGGCGCAGTCTTTGACATTTAATTTAGTGAACATTAAATACGATAAAAAAAAATTGCATGTTCAATAAACTCTGTCAACTAGACTTAGTGCTTCATGTACAGATGTACATGAATATACATGTACACAGAACTTTTATATTAAAAATGTTGTGTATAATAAATTCTTTCAAAATTCCATTTCTACATACACGTACCTGGTAAACATTAAATTGCCGGAGAGGTACTTTGCAAAAAATTCCAGAAATGAAAAGAAATAAATATCGGAAAAGAAAAGACAAATTGTCGGAAATGAAATAAAGAAAAGGCGGAAATACCATGCCGATTTCCGGAAATGAAATGCAGCAGTCCTATCTTTACAGTGTTATATAAAGTACCAAAACAAATAGAAATATCTTTTTCATATTTTTAGTCTAAACTTATAAAAAAAAAAGCCTTATATGACTTTAAAAGTTTTTAAACGCAGTATAATATAAGGTCTGCCCTCTGTATTTCAGATATCTTCATGTTATAAAGTGAAATTTTTGGACAGGGTTTATTTTCTTAGCTTGAAAACTAGAAAAATAGACAGGGCGGACCTTAAAACGCAGTTATCAGAAAAGGTCCGCCCTCTGTATTTCAGATATATTCATGCCATAAAGGGAAATTTTTGGACAGGGTTTATTTTCGTAGCTTGAAAACTAGAAAAAAAAAAAGACAGGGCGGACCTTAAAACGCAGTTATCAGAAAAGGTCCGCCCTCTGTATTTCAGATACTTTTATGTTATAAAGGGACATTTTTGGACAAGTTAATTTTCGTAGCTTAAAAACAAGAGAAAGGGACAGGGCGGACCTTAAAACGCAGTTATCAGAAAAGGTCCGCCCTCTGTATTTCAGATATTTTTATATTATAAAGGGATATCTTTGGACAGGGTTTATTTTCGTAGCTTGAAAGGGACAGGGCGGACCTTAAAACGTAGTTATCAGAAAAGGTCCGCCCTCTGTATTTCAGATATTTTATGTTATAAAGAGAAATTTTTGGACACATTTATTTTCGTAGCTTAAAAAACTTGAGAAAGAGACAGGGCAGACCTTAAAACGCAGTTATCAGAAAAGGTCCGCCCTCTGTATTTCAGATATTTATATATTATAAAGGGAAATTTTTGGACAGGTTTATTTTTGTAGCTTGAAAACTAGAAAAATAGACAGGGCGGACCTTAAAACGCAGTTATCAGAAAAGGTCCGCCCTCTGTATTTCAGATATATTCATGTCATAAAGGGAAATTTTTGGACAGGGTTTATTTTCGTAGCTTGAAAACTAGAAAAAAAAAGACAGGGCGGACCTTAAAACGCAGTTATCAGAAAAGGTCCTCCCTCTGTATTTCAGATTACAAAATTAAGTAAAAAAATATAGCTGATACATTTAAATTAAAGGTTTTCATACAATTCTGAACAGGGAGAACACATCGTCTCATCTAATAATACGATTTTATCTTCTCTGTAATGTGTTGTTTAAATCTTTTGTATTTTCTTCCGAGTCGGAGAAAATTCCGAGAATCCAAATTTAATTGTGATATCTTTATAACGCAATTGATTTAGATTTTATAATTTACGGAAAAGTTCTATCTTTATATAAAGTAATGATACAAATAATAAGTTCTTATAATTTTAGTCCAATAATTTTCATTGTACATACGCCGTATATGGCTTTAAATAAATATTACACGAAACATTGCGATTTTAAACTACATGTAACTTTAAAATCTAAGATATTTTCATTAATATTTCATTCTAAGAATATAACTGAATTAAGTGTGTATTGATTACATTGGTGTCGCATTTCATTCCGGAATTTTCTGAAGTTATAATTTCCGACATTTTTAAGTTTTTACATTTTAAAAGTTTTCATCTCCGACATTTGTCATTCATGTCAGTACTTTTTCGTCAATGAAAAAAGAATTCATACATCCGTTTTAAAAATCCTGAAGGTAAAATATTTAAGATAATTTATTCAAATAAAAGCCTTTGCTCTTAGCTGTCAAAGAAACTTAATTAATTTTACCCTGGAACAGATGTAGGTACATGTATTGTGAATGTGAAGTTTCACTTAACTGTTTCCTTTACTTTTTAACTAGTCTTAATATTGTTTACAGAGTGTATGTAATGATTAGAAAAAACGTGATTTGAAATAAATAATTTTATACAATGCATATATACAATAACCTGTTAAAATTCTAATTTCCATCTTTGTTATATATATGTTAAACTTAAATTGCCGTAAAGGTATCCTAAAAAAAATCCGAAAATGTGAAAAAAAGAAATAAATAATGTCGAAAATGAAAATAAAATTGTCGGATTCCGAAATAATAACAAAAATTGTCTGCAATGTTAAATTCAGGAAATGAAATGCAGAGATCTAGTAGATATAATAATTAGCCTTTGAATAGGTAAGAAACAGTGTTAACTTATAAAAACACAGGGGATATGGTACTTTAGGTTTTCTCAAACGAAACAATTATAGGCTAACCCCCAACTGCCCAATCCGTAGGCATGTTGTTTTTACAATAAGGGGTGTAGGGTAGTACACCGTGACATAAGCCCCTGTCATAGCTAGTGACCCTCCAGTTATTTACAACAATTTTAAACGTAAAGAATGACAGATTTTTTTTTATCAATACTATAATGAAATATATTTTGAAAGATGTGAACTTTAGTTTTTGTGAGTGGATTAGTCAAACGTTTATCATCTTTATAGGAAAGAGAGTGTAACTAAATGATTCGTGTTGGACTAACGCACATTTTTCTGTTCATTCAATACTGATTAATCTGCCAGTAAACAAGGCGGTGAAGGTAAATGTATGTACATTTGTATTCTTGATATTTTTTTAATGATAATGTTGACATTAGTGTATTAATTTAAACGACAAAAGAAGCATGTCCCATCTTCCCGACAGGAAACATCAATAAATCTATACATTCCTTTATTTATGTATTAATTTCGATTTCTTACTTATTGTTTACTACATTTTCTCCGAGAAAACACTAGCTATTAGTACGACTATATATCCTTAATTCATTTTAAAAGAATAGTTTTTCAATTTATATCGAATGAACCACATGCATACAATGTATATAAGAGGCCGAGGGCGGACCTTTTCTTATAGAGCCAGGCGGACCAAATATGTTATCGTATTAGGTCCGGCCGGACCTTTAAACGAGGCGGACCAAATATTATGCGACACCGTCCATTTTCGATTATTTCCTTTGTTTATATATTGTGCTTTAAAACGTATGCCTTTTGCAATAAAGACATTGAAAATTGAAAAAAAATAGTGGATTGCTAGTCGCAGTATCAACCTATATGTTTTAATTGAATAAGCTGTATTGATTTTATTGTTACTATAAATATTGAATTTTCCTTTCCGTCCGTCACTACTGTTAAACGAATTACATTTTTCCCTCTCTAAAAAACATTGGTAAGATTAGTTTGTGTTACGAACGCTAATAATCTTAAAATTGGAAAAAAATTTAAGACTATGTGAAATAAATTATGATAAATGTTTTATCCGATTTAATTTTTCATTTAAAAACACAAGAATTAAGTGTATGATTTGTCAGTTTCGAATTAAATGTTGTACTGCATAGGTATATCCGTGCAATGATGGATGAACGTCGATTGTTCACTAGAAATGAATATACTGGAGATGCATATTCTTAATGGTAATTTTTTTTTATTTCTCTCTTGCATTTCATTGGATAAGAAAACAGTTCTCATTTGTTCCACAGAATCTTTCTTGCATTTCATTGGATAAAGAAAGTTCTCACTTCTGCATTTCATTGGATAAGAAGATAAGTTCTCACTTGTGCCACATAATCTTTCTTGCATTTCATTGGATAAAAAAGTTCTCACTTGTGCCACAGAATCTTGCTTGCATTTCATTGGATAAGTAAATAAGTTCTCACCTGTGCCACAAAGGATGAAGTAGAAGGACTGGGGTAGGTGATTCTGTCTGACGATAGCCCTGCGGGGATTGTACCTGGTCACAGAGAACAGACTTTTATCAGAATACATGTATATCACATTTCATTAAATAACAATCACTATCCATATTTTCCCAAAATACATGGATTTTTTTAAATCAATAATTTTTTTTTAATTTAAAAACATGATGTATCATTTATAACATACATAAAAAATAACTTATATCACATCAAACCATTTGCATATACATAAGATGTTTTATATGAATCTTTGTGAATCATGTCACAATAAATATCGAAAGGAACTCATTTTAAAAAAAAATTATGTGTATCATTTACAACCTTTGTTGTAAAAGTATCAAATCACTTAGATAAAAAAAAAAGAAATCTGTATCATACCATAAACCAAACCAAAAGACAAGAAATGGAAAATCTATATATCATTTCACAGTCAACAAACAAGAAGTGGGAAATGTGTATCATATCACAATAAAAAAAAGCGATTGAAAAGGTGTATCATTTCACAGTTAAAAAAAAAACCCCATGAAATGGGAAATCTGTATCATTTCAAAGTCAACAAACAAAAAAGTGGGAAATATATATCATATCACAGTCAACAAAAACAAGAAATATGAACTGCTCATTGTATCACAATAAAAATATAATAAAAAAAGAAATGGGAAATGTGTATTTATCCCGGTTAACAACAATGAGAAATGGAAAAAGTGTGTATTATATCACAATCAACAAAATTAAAAATGGGAATTGTGTAATCAAATTTATTGAACATTCATTGAAATGAGCATAAAACAATAAATGGTAAATCACAATTAGTGGAAACTAGAAATGTGGAACCTCTTTATATATCAAAATAAAAACAAGAAATGGGAAATATACTGCATTACATCACATTGAAAAGTTAAGCTAGATCTTGAGGCAAGAAATCGCAGAGAAGCCGTATGTCTTCATAGTACCACAGCCAACAGAGGAACTAGAAAATCCACATTATAAAATAAAACGATTTAATTGATATAAGGGAAAACTTATTGATTAACACACAGGGTATAAGAAACAACAGCTAAACAAGAAGTGGAAACACTCAAGACCCATCAGTGCAAGAAATCACGACTTATAGCAGAGTATAAAGTGTCGTTGAAAGTGTGGAAGACAATTCACTGCATCCTTACATAAGAAGACGAGGCTACTATAATCAGATGACTTGTAGATTCATTGATACATGCATAGAAACACTGAAACATGAAAAAATTACAGAAAAGGAGAGGCTTACAGAAGATTCATTTAAGATTACTGTTTTTAAATGCCGATGTAATGTACCATTCCAGTCATTTATATTATAAGATTATTGTTTTTAAATGCCGATGTAATGTACCATTCCAGTCATTTATATTATAAGATTACTGTTTTTAAATACCGATGTAATGTACCATTCCAGTACATTTATATTATAAGATTACTGATTTTAAATACCGATGTAATGTACCATTCCAATACATTTATATTATAAGATTACTGTTTTTAAATGCTGATGTAATGTACAATTCCAATACATTTATATTATAAGATTACTGTTTTTAAATGCCGATGTAATGTACCATTCCAATACATTTACATGTATATTATAAGATTACTGTTTTTAAATGCCGATGTAATGTACCATTCCAGTACATTTATATTATAAGGTTACTGATTTTAAATACCGATGTAATGTACCATTCCAATACATTTATATTATAAGATTACTGTTTTTAAATGCTGATGTAATGTACAATTCCAATACATTTATATTATAAGATTACTGTTTTTAAATGCCGATGTAATGTACCATTCCAATACATTTATATTATAAGATTACTGTTTTTAAATGCCGATGTAATGTACCATTCCAGTACATTTATATTATAAGATTACTGTTTTTAAATGCTGATGTAATGTACAATTCCAATACATTGATATTATAAGATTACCGATTTTAAATACCGATGTAATGTACCATTCCAATACATTGATATTATAAGATTACTGTTTTTAAATACCGATGTAATGTACAATTCCAATTCAATTATATTATAAGATTACTGTTTTTAAATGCCGATGTAATGTACCATTCCAATACATTTATATTATAAGATTATTGTTTTTAAATACCGATGTAATGTACCATTCCAGTACATTTATATTATAAGATTATTGATTTTAAATACCGATGTAATGTACCATTCCAATACATTTATATTATAAGATTACTATTTTAAATACCGATGTAATGTACAATTCCAATACATTTATATTATAAGATTACTGTTTTTAAATGCCGATGTAATGTACCATTCCAGTACATTTATATTATAAGATTACTGTTTTTAAATACCGATGTAATGTACAATTCCAGTACATTTATATTATAAGATTACTGTTTTTAAATGCCGATGTAATGTACCATTCCAGTACATTTATATTATAAGATTACTGTTTTTAAATGCCGATGTAATGTACCATTCCAGTACATTTATATTATAAGATTACTGTTTTTAAATGCCGATGTAATGTACCATTCCAGTACATTTATATTATAAGATTATTGTTTTTAAATGCCGATGTAATGTACAATTCCAATACATTTATATTATAAGATTATTGTTTTTAAATGCCGATGTAATGTACCATTCCAATACATTTATATTATACGATTATTGTTTTTAAATGCCGATGTAATGTACAATTCCAATACATTTATATTATAAGATTATTGTTTTTAAATGCCAATGTAATGTACCATTCCAAACCCAGGAGTGACAGTACAAATAATCCCCTCATGCTCTCTCTCTCTCTGGCTAACTTTGATTTAAAGGATCTCACGTTCAGTCAAATGTACATACATGCCATATAAACGACTAAAATATTTCTATTACACAGCACATTTTCCTTAGGATGTACATTATCAATCCCAAAATATTTTATCATTTGCATCACAATTTTATCCACAAGGGAAATATGAGTCTGGATTTATTTCTGATTGTATAGTGGTATTGGAGAGAAATTCATCATCTGTTTTTATTATTGTAAAACAATTCTGTGAATTTTTATATGCAATCGGAAAATGAAATTCTATATTACGTAACATATATAATTTCACCAGTTGAACTTAATTGTTGTCAATTTTACTTTCAGATTGTAAGTACTAAATATCTTGGTGCTAAAATTTTATATCTTAAAGCCAGGAAACAATTTTTTTTATGTCAAAGGTTTAAATTTCTTAAACAAGCTCATAATCGAAAAATTAGATGGATATATAACCAACAAGCTAATTCAGAGAATTCATGTCCCCCGCTTAGGGAAAAAGTCGGCTCCCCCTGACTGAATTTGTAGAATTATTAAATGTATACATGTACACTGAAGGAAATAAAATACATGTATGTCAATATGCATATAAAGATTTGATTGCTTATTCTTTATTATGTGTATAGAAGATTTTTTTATATGGAATATTTATCACACTGTAATGATGATTTTATAACCTCATAAATTTTTCATTTCACATGCTGAATACTATCATTTAGTAAAAAAAAAAGTATTTAAAAAAAAGAAAAAAAAAGAAATGTTCGACCGAGATTCGATCCCGGGACCTCCCACATTTAATGCGAGAGACATAACCACTAGACCACGGAGTCGCTTTACTCGGAATGAAGTATATGCAGAACTGAAGTCACATACATGTATATCTTCATGTTTTCATGTTCGGTATTCTCAAAATTTTACACAATCCATGGTGTTTGATTTATTTAGCCTTTATTAAACAGTTATAATAGATGTAATAAGAACATAAAGTCCGCCGAGAACCTGTTTTATACGCAATAACTCTCCTCATGCCCCTGCGCTAAAAATAGCGACATGTAATACTATAAATACTAATAAAACAAACGGGGCGGGGCACTTTGAGAGGGGCGAGAGACGTCCTAGGGAGTTTTGGTATAAAATTACATTGCATAAGCTCAAAATCTTCTTGAAATATCGCCCGGAAATGATAGTGTTACACACAGACAGAATGTATAAATTTACGACCTTGAACTTTGACCTTTTGACCTCAAAATCAATAGGGGTCTTCTTTAGGCCAGGGAGTTGTTATGTAAAATTTCATTGCGATAGCTCAAATGGTTCTAGAGATATCGTGTGGAAACGAAAGTGTTTTAACAGACAGAATTTGCTTATTTATGACCTTAACCTTTGACCTTTTGACCTCAAAATCAATAGGGGTCTTCGTTAGTCCATAGGGAGTTGCTATGCTAAATTTCATTGCAAAAGCTCAAAGGATTCTCGAGATATCGTGTGGAAACGAAAGCGTTACAGACAGACAGAGAGACGGACGGACGGACGGACGGACGGACGGACAAACCCAAATTAATATCCCCCACTTTTCAAGCGGGGGACAAAAATCTAGTTCAAAATCATATATCTCTGACTGAATGTTTATACACAAACCAGATTGTAATCATAGAGCTCTGAATGTAGGTCTGGCATCATATCAGATAAGACCTTAAGCTCTGAATGGGTGTCGATCCACAAACCAACTCATTACTGTAAATTGGCAAATAATCACGATGGTTTTAATTTCGCTATGTTCGCGTTTTATCATTTTTCCGTGAAAGTATCACACATCTCTGAACGAATACCTAACAAGCCTACCCATATACCAGTCCATAATAACAGAGCTTTGACTTGATGACATCTCTTTAAATTGCCCAGAATCAAAGGGCTCTGACTGAATGTCTAGCTTCTCTTATACTAGTCCATAATCACTGACCCCTGAATGAATGTCTACCCACAAACCAGCTCATAATAGAGCTCTGAATGGATGTCTACCCATAAACCAGTCCTTAATCACTGAGCTCTGCCTTAATGACTACCCTTTAAACGAGCCCATAATCATTGAGCTCTGTACGGACGTCAACCATAAAAAAAATAACCAACGGTTAGATTTCCATCACTGGTTAGCGGTAAATACCCAGACAAAGCTCTGTGATTATTTGCATGATTGTTGATAGAGGTATTAGGATATACCTTTTCCCCTCAAACCAGCTGACCTTATCTTTTTTGCATATCATTAGGATGTACTCACCCCTCAAACCAGCTGACCTTAGCTTGATTTGCATAACATTATGATATACCTACCCCAACCAGCTGACCTTAGCTTGATTTGCATATCATTAGGATATACCTACCCTAACCAGATGACCTTAGCTTGATTTGCATATCATTAGGATATACCTATCCCTCAAACTAGTCGACAAGGTATTATCTTTACCCATCAAACCAATCTTTACCCATCAAACCAATCTTTACCCATCAAATCAGCCAAACTGACATAGCTTTATTTGCATATAATTAAGGTGGCTCATTACATCCACAGTTTATTTTAGATTTCAATACAGCACCACTTATAATGTAGATGTCAAATATCCAGATGGGGGTATTGATATCATAAATATTTATACCCCCCGCTTGAAAAGCGGGAGGGTATATAGTAATCGTTAATTCCGTCCGTCTGTACGTCTGTCCGTCCGTCCGTCTGTCCGTCCGTCCTTCCGTCTGTCCGTCCGTCCGTCTGTTACGCTTTGGGGTACCCATCTCTTATCCGCAACTCCTCTCATACCACTGAATGAAATTTGATGCAACTTTCACAGAATCTTTATTACATATTGCCATTGTGCACCTCCTATTTTATTTTTTGATCCGACTCATATTTTAGGTTTCCCGGCCACAGGAAAACATGGACTTTTTTCACCAGTTATAACCATATGGGAGGCGGGGGGTATCATTTAGTGAGCTCATCGCTCACAGTACCTCTAGTTTTTATAGAATTTTTTAGTTTTTGTTTTATTTTAGTGAAATGTTTTATTTCAGGTTTATTATTCACAGAATTTCAGAACTTTCAGTGTCAAATGATGGGCATCTTCTTAAGACAAGTACACAAAGTGAAAATACCTCATAATACCTAATAATAATTTTATTAGAAAAAATAAAAGTCCACTTTCAAGAGTTATCTTTCCTAATTAGCCAAGACTCAAAACACTATGGAACGTTTGACATTACATCTGAAATTCATAATAAAGCTTTAAATTGCTAGAGTATACATTTAAATCAATAAAACAAATTAACACCAACACAGTAAATAGCGCAATTAAATAAAATTTTAATTTCAACAAGGTTGTAGATTTTAACTCGAATTTCCTCCATACATACATGTCAGTGATTGATAGAGTTCACTGCATGCATGGCTATGAAATTGACATTACTTGTTTGGCGAAGATTTGACTGTTGCTTTCTTTCGTTTCTGTCTAAAAGCAATTCTTCTTGGTTTATGCATAATGAATCCGTTACTTTGTTTTCACTGTTTACAACACCGCATGTTTCATCTATTTTTAAAGCGTTTTAAAGGTCAGGGTCATATTATAGAGGTACCTACACTATTCGTTCCCTGAGCAAACCGGTCGACACAATGGAGGTTTATTTTTTTGTGTAGTACGTCATCAAAAAGTGGTGTAATGAGCCTCCTTAAGATATACCCACCACTCAAACCAGCCCACATTACATAGCTTGCATATCATAAGGATATATTTACCCCCATTATGAAATACTTACCCCTCAAACCAGCCGACCTGGCATAACTTTATTTGCATGTCGTTAGGATACTCAGCAAACGCCTTAATCTTCCTCAGTACGATCTGGAGCTGTCAAAACAGATAATGAATCGTGAATTTTAAACTTTGAATAAAATCTGTTTTTATTATTTCCTACAATTCATATACATGTATCAAACTCGTGATATGACATATATGAATTCCCCTAGAACTGATTATAAACAATGTTTGAAAAAGGCCGTCAGGTATTATTTTTGAGGGGTCAAACCTTAAATTAGCTTTGTTTTCTAATATAAAGTACATAGTGGCAAAATCATTGAGAGGGAAATTATTTTAAATTAGCGTTGTTTTCTGTTACAAAATATTTTAGCAAAAGTATGGGAGGGGAGCACCCCCTCCCCCCACCAAAGTTCCTACAGCCCTGATAGAAATCTCAAATCTAAAATAATCTAGCTCTGTGGGTATATCTCTGCCCTCTTTCGTAAATTGTATATTATTCTTAACATTATTTTTTAATTAAAAAAAACATCACTTGAAAAGGTTTTTTTCACCCAATTTATTCTTTGACAACTATATGAACCAATGATAGGATTCTTATGAAATGCTTACGTACATGTAAAATACCAAATATTCTGGAACTTTTTGCATCATATCTTAAATAAAAATCCATTTTTCTCTATCAGATCATCAATATTGATTAACGAAAGAAATTCTGTTTTTGCTACTGCCAATGCATCACCGTTACTTAATAAAACGGGAGTTTTGATGTAATCTTGATTTTCTGTCACATGATCGCAGACCGTTGCTTTTATTTGACATATCTGCCGTATAATCAATGCTTACACCGTAAGGCTACCTGTACGGAGTGAATAATTTGTTTCATACATTTTAATTTGACCATAAAAATGGCAAGGAGTTAATTACGACTTTTAGAATAAAATCAATGACATTATACCTGTGCATATCTGACGCAAACGAGACCTCAGCCTGTCTGATCTTTTGAATAAGACATTCCAAGTTCTATGTAGTTCAAATGATAGAAAGCAAGGGGGTTAATTATCAGACGTAAACAGGCGTTCTCTCCTAATACAATATTTGAAAAAAGGGAGGATTTGTTTCAATTAACTTACACTGTACAATGTAATGCAATTTTCCTAATAATATTCGGTACATATAAGCACAGTTTAACATAAATTCAGTATTGTATTGCAAAAAATACCCCAAAACTGTTGCCTTCATATTAACAAGAGAATTTTTTTTTCGTGTGTAGATCTTGTTAAATTTGCCTTTAATTTTGAATATATAAAGTTTCTCAACTTCAAGAAACAATCTCATGGATGTTAGGATAGTATAATGTAACTTAAAAAAAAATTGTAGACTTATCCTTAAGATTTCTTTTATCGAGGTCACATGACATAAAGTGTGTTTAGCTCACATAGCTTGGGTATCACATAGTTCAGCCCACATTGTGTATCTCCTTGTTTAGCTTACATAGTGTATCTCCTTGTCCGTTCTGAGCTCCTGTGATTTCTGTAGAATTCGTCTGGCCTCTAACGGTAGTCGTTCCTGTAGAGAAAGCGAGATAACTCTAAATCTTAAATGTATTTTTTTATACCCCCCCCTCGCTTGAAAAGCGGGAGGGTATAAAGTAATCGCTATGTCCGTCTACCCCTCCGTGCATCCACCCGTCTGTCTGTACGTCTGTCTGTTACGCTTTGGGGTACCCATCTCTTATCCGCAACTCCTCTTTATACCGCTGAATGAAATTTAATGAGACTTTCACATATTCTTTTTTACATAGTGCCATTGTGCAACTATTTCACTATTTGATCCGACACAAATTTTGAGTTTCCCAGCAAACATGGACACGGTCATTCTTTCAATAGTATTAAAAGGTACCCATCTCTTATCCGCAACTCCTCCTATACCGATACTTTAAAACAGATTTTTTTTATACCCTCCGCTTGAAAAGTGGGAGGGTAATAGTGATCGGGATGTCCGTCCGTCTGTTACGCTTTTGGGTAGCCATCTCTAATACAACCCCTCCAATACCAATGAATGAAATTTAATGAAACTTTCACAGATTATTTGTTACATTGTGCACCTCCTTATTTTACTTTTTGATCCGACACATATTTTGGGTTTCCCATAGCAAAACATGGACACTGACATTCTTTCTATATTATTGCAAGGTCCCTTTCGCTTATCGCAACTCTTCCTATACCACTGAATAAAATTTAATGATACTTTCACAGATTCTTTATAACAAAATGCACCTTCTATTTTACTTTCTGATCTGATTCTTATTTCGAGTCTTCCAGAGCAAATGATAATTTGGATATTGCCATTATAATCATTCGGGAAGCGCTAATTGCTAACAGTAAATCTATTTTACTTTTGCATGACTCAACGAAAAAAAATATATATTTACATGTACATTATTTTTATTGAATAATTCGAAACTTAAGTCTACAAGCATTGTTGAATGTATTACTAAGCCATACACAACAAGAAGGCATTTCTTTCACTGATGAGCAAATGGTTTTATGAAGATATTCATCTTATTTGTTGTTTTATTTCGAACAAAGTTTTTACCACCACTGTCTTGTAATTTTCTATTTATCCGTAAAACTTTTCTTTTTCAAAAGGCTTCTTCTTCCTTCGTTAAAACATATAGACTAGAGGTACTGTGAGCACTGAGCTAACTCCCATATCTTATAATGGCATGTCTTGCTCTGGATGCCCGAAATGAGTGTCAAATCAGAAAGTAAATTAGGAGGTGCACAATGACATAATGCAATTAAGATTAGAATCTGTGAAAGCTTCTTAAACGTTATTCGGTTATTTAGGAAGAATTGCGAATAAGAGATTTGTACCCTTCAATATTATAGAAAGAATGTCAATGTCCATGCATGTTTTATTATGTGAAACCCAAAAATATGTGTCAGATCAAATAGTAAAATAGGAGATGCACAATAAGGCACTAGGTAACAAAGATTCTGTGAAAGTCTCATTAAATTTCATTCTGTGGTATAAAAGAAGATGCGGATAATTGAGATGCCATTGTGTACCCTAAAGCGTATCAGACGGACGTACAAAAGAACAGACATCTCGATCACTATATATACCCTCCCACTTTTCAAGTGGGGGATAAAAAAAGAGTTGGGAAAAAGAGAACCCGTGTTATTTACAAGATGCTCAATCCCGCTTTCGCAACTGAACACGACTGCTAACAAATAGATTTCATATGGCTAATTTTTTTTCATACATTTACTACTCTGTAGATTCCTAGTACATCAACATAATTATGTCTTTTACATGTAAATTTTTTTGAAATACTTCTTTCATTTTATAGTTTGCACTGTTGCACATTATACAAAAACTTCATGAACTATTTTTTGAAATTTTTAACATCGATATTTAATTTTATTTAATTTTTTTTTTTTGACATTAAGATTTAATTTTATTTTTAAATTTTCCAAATAAGTTCTTTCCCTTTTTACGTTTCTCAGTTATTTGTGAATGGGTACCAGGTATCATGGACATTCTTGTAAATATATCCCTCTTTCAAATTCTTTCTACATGAGTCTTAGCTTTAAAATTTTAAATTAATCAACAGTTTGCACTGAGGTTACGGCTAGATTATTGTCTCAGTTTACATGTATCTACATTCCAATCGGCAAGATCAAACTGTCGGCTATCTCTTTTTCATAATTAAGTAACATGGACTGTATTTTTTATTATTTGGTATACACCGGGTATATGGAATGTCACAAAGAACATGGGTACGCTTAAAACTGCATTTAAATATTTTTCTGTGTTGAATAAAAGAAACTGATTAACTCCAACTAAAAAAAACTTAAAATTATTCTTTAAAGGTCGAAACGTTTCTTCAAACATTCCGCTAGAGTAACGTGACCAGGCTTAAACGTGGGAATTCTTTATTTGTTTGTGGAAAAAACTTTATAACATATATCATCGATGTTAATAATCTTTTGGAGATAATTTATTTCTTCATGTTTGTGATAAGAATGTTTTCCTCTTTGTTTATAACTAGATGCACCTGTTAGTAAAATAATGCGCCTTTGAAGTGAATCCGAGAGAGGTTAATCAAATCTTACTGACTAGGTGATTATTGAGATATAAGGAGTGATATTGGCAGGTTTAACTAACGTCCTCCTCTGATGACACTGAAATAGTTCAGCTTACCAGGATTATACAGTGTCATACACTCTTATATTGTTTCAGAACATACAAGAGTCTACCCTCTTTGATGTATTATTATTAGGGTAGTAAATTTAGTTGTTTTATATCGTTCTCTTTGTTTGTATGTTTTTAAATTTTTCCACTGGGAAACATGTAAAAGAGAACTCATCCTCGTCATCAATTTATAAAATTCATGTCATTTCTAATACTCATAAAGAGACATTGTTACTCGCTTGTTTCTTGAAAGTCGAAATCACAGGTACTTGTGGAAAAGACACCCTTCGAATATTTAACCCAAGGGTTCCTTTGCCATTTTTCCACAAACATATTTAATACATTTATTTATGTACCATATGAAAAACGGAGCCGGGGAGGGGACAATCGAACCACGCAAAATTACCTCAGTCTACTTTATTCTCTCTTAAAATTTTAAATACATGGGACATTTTTTTTGTTTGGAACGAATATTTTGCGTTTTCCCAATACTAGTATTACTTCCTTAGATATAAAAAAGAGTTATTAAATATAATATGTGGGGGGAAATGTACAAGCTCCGGGGGAAAGGGGGAGGGGTGTCGACCTGTCCACAAGTACCTTTGGTCGTAAATGAATCATGTTCGAACTCTGATTTAGTATGATCATCTTTTGGGGGTACTGACCTCTTTAGTGGTTTTCTTGTAGTCAGAGGGATCGAAGTACAACCCCCCTCTGTCCACATCCAGGGTGTCCATGTACTGCAATACGGACAGGAACTCCGACTCGTGAGACTCCACGCTACAAACAATAATCGCCATCATCTTCGCTAGCCAAGGGTTTCTGAATCCCTATAGGGATTATAAGGAGAGTAGCGTATCAGAAACTCTTGGCTAGCGAAGATGAATCGCCATCTTTCATAAAGAAATAGCCTCAAATAGGTCCGCATTTAATTGTTTTAAAAAAATATATAATTTACATACATGAATATTTATCAAGCAATAAGAAATATCATTAATGGACAATAAATCGAACGTTTGTGAAAAAATTAAACCTAGAGATAATAAGGGTTTATTGCAGCATTATTTTATAAATTTTATTTGCAATTTAACATATGAAGTAAAATAATTCTGGGACTCTTTGAAATATACCGGAACGCCCGGTCTGTTTGACATGCCCAGGTAATATTCGGGTGACTGAATGCTTGAATGACCATATTATGATTGAAAAAAGAAGAAAATTAACATGGAGCCAATAAAACATTATAATAACTTATAACTAGATTCTACCTTTAAAGAGTAAAATTCATGTTACATTCGCTAAAAGACTTACTGTCGTCATGTTTGTCTCGTAACGTTGAAGAAACTTGCTTGTCCAATGGATTCGAACCTACCTTTTTTGACTTTGCTGACAGAGGCGGACACAGACGATGACCAGTCGAACACATCTCCGGAATCGTTCCAATGGGGAGCCACCATTCCACTTCACGTGATCCACGCTGTGGTGGTACTGATGATCCATCAAAAAAGAAATCAAGACTCGAGTTTTGTAAACTGTATTCATAGTTTGAACTATTGGCAGCTTGTGTACACTTTTTACTACCATTTAGTATTTTCACCGATGATATTTACTTTCAGGGACCATATTTACATATGATTAATAGATTTAAAACCATTTTTTAATTTCGATGCTATCATTTAGACGTTCTCATTTTACGCTATGTATTTGTCCGTTTAATGTGATATTTCACTCAATTAAAATTTGAACATGACCGTGTTGAATTCGTATAAATGTGGTACATTTAACACCTTAAATGCGCCACTTTTTAAAATTTCGCCGATCAAAAAGTTTTTTTTGAAAATGAGCATACAAATATTATTAACTCGTAGCTTGTGAGAACTTTATTAAACACATTGAAATTTAACCACGTCGGGAATGAAAAGAATTTAAAATGAGGTACATATGACACCGTCTCAACATTAAATTAACTAAATTTCCAAGTAGTTACAGAATATAGCTTAATGTTAAGATACATAAAACAGCATGAACGAGGTAGGAGCATGTTGAAATTAATGTATAAACTTTATTTCTGTCTCTCGCAAATGTCGTTTGAGTCAAAGCAAACAAATTCGCTCCACTTACCTTTCTATGTCGATGCAAGTGTCCAGAAAATTTTGCAAAAGCAGTTAGGTAATCCATGCTTACAATATACACCTGTACTCTCTACCTTCTATGACTAGATTTAAAAATCTCACATTGGATTTTTATCTTTTAAACCTATAACCTATATGTTATCTACATTTTTAAAATAAAAAATAAATAAATTCACAGTCGTGAAAACTCGACAATCTTAAAAATTTTTTAAATGGATTTTGTTTTTAAAAATCAAACAATTTAATCAAAGAAATTATTTAAGCGACAAGGAATAGCTTTGCCTCGGTATTGGTCACATCGATTAGACAGAATTTCCTAATACATCGCGTCTATCACAGTTGGTTGCTACCTTTAATTTTCATTCATATAAGTATTATAACATTAAATATACACCCCCTGATTCATATGTCCTTGTTTGCCTACATGAGTGTCCACTGTTCAAACTCTGGTCACAAATAAGGAAGCGAGCAAACATTGTGCTCCATTGTTGTGACCGGTCTCAAACATTTAACGTCTATTACCCTCAAACCAATAATTAGAAAAATACATTTATTTACTTAGAAAAGTAATGATTGTTTCACTATTGCATCAATCCCGACCCTTGTTTTCCTTTAAATAAATGCATACTCTGGGGTCTTCGTGCCTTCGAGTGGTCAACTCGATTCAAATTCATACCAAACTATTGGCTTGACTTTTAGTTTAACACTGCTTAAGTGGAATATAGTTCATCAACTTTTAATCTTTAATTCAAATATCGTCATTTGACTTTGATAGACAATCGATGTTTGTTAACATTTAAACTAGGGCTACCTTGAAAATAACAAGTCCATCGGTTCTTAAAATCCCAGTATATAATGTAAGGTCTCTGGCTCATGTATACAAAACATGTTCTAAAAAAATAGTAATCTAAATTCAAAAACTTTTAGTGAAAATAATCCTTGTTAGAATGCTTGGAACCAAAATAAACCAACTGAGGCTTCTTTCTAATGTCTTTCAATTGAAAGTACTTTGCAGACTCTGAGAAAATTTATCAAGGAAGTTGCAGTCTATTATCTCACTGTTGTCAGTGTCTGTATGAATGATAAGGTGTACCACTAACATAATTTTTTTAAAAAGAAAGTTATTTATGAGAAATACTGTGGAATAATCAATGTTCGTGGGGGACCAATGTTCGTGGATTTCGTGGGTCACCCTTATCCACTAATTGACATCCCCACGAAGATTTATTTTGTAATCATATTTATTTATTGCATCTTCTGTATATGAGTTACCCACGAAATTACGTCCCATGAACAAACAAAATTTTATTTTATCTACCCACGAACATTGACCCCTACGAATTAAAATGATTCCACAGTAATGACGAGAAAGTGTTGCTGAATTGGATCCTCGTAATCAAATTCACATCCTTAACCTTAATTCTCTCCGTGCCAGGAGGCACACAAGGCCTGGACATCTCTTTTCCACTGGGCAGGTCTCAGGCTGCACGGCGTGCCGTGTTCCAGGAGTTCCAGCCAGCATTGATTCGCGCCACCTCCACCATCCGTCGCCATGTTGTCTTAGGGCGACCTAGCTTCCTCCTCCCTTCACCCGGACACCCGAGGGCCACAGCACAGTCATCCGTGAGATCCTTTCTATGCACATGGCCTATCCAATTCCGTCTCCTCTTCCTCACCTCGCCATTGATGCTTTCTGCTTCTGCCATTCCCAGAACTGTCTTGTTTGGTATGTGCTGCTGCCATCTGACCTTAAGGATCCTTCTGAGGCACTTGTCTGAAAGATGTCAATCTTCTTTTCCTCTGTCTTGGTAAGCTTCCAGGTCTCACATCCGTATAATAATACAGAGAGGACCAGATTCTTAAATAAGGAGATTTTTATCTTTCTACCGATGTCTGTAGTTTGCCAGATGTTGGTTAGCCTCCTGAAGAATGCACCGGTCAGTGCTATCCTCTTCCTGATGTCAGCAGTTCCTCCTCCATCCTTGGTGACATTGGCGCCGAGGTAGGTAAAGCTGTCCACCTCGTCGGCTTCACTGTTTCCGACTGTCAGGCTGATTTCACTCTTGCTATTTATCTTCATCACTTTGCACTTCTTGGCATTCAGATTCAACTCAACTTTGCGGTGTTTTCTTCCAGTTTTGTTGTCTTAGATTTAAGATGGTTCATTGCTGATGACAATAGGGCAATGCCGTCCGCAAAGTCGAGGTCTTCGAGCATAGTGGTGAAGTCCCATCTAATTCCTGTTGTATTTTCTCTGACAGTTTGTTGCATCACCCAGTCTATTACTAGAAGGAACAAGAAGCCTGACATGCAGCATCCTTGTTTGACACCAGTCACTACAGGAAAAGGGTTTGTGGACTTGTTTTCATCAATCACAGAGCATTGAAATTTGTCATACAGGGCTTTGACTATCATAATAAGTTTTCTGGGTATTCCATACTTCTTCATGATGACCCAAAGGATGTCTTTGTGCACCGAGTCCAAAGATCTCTCAAAGTCCACAAAATGGATGTACAGTGTAGCATTGCACTCGTTTACTTGCTCCAGGATGTTCCTTAGGATGAAGATCTGGTTATCAGTCCCTCAACCTCTCCGGAACCCTGCCTGCTCTTTCCTCAAATTACGGTCAACTCCAGCCTGAATTCTGTTAATGATGATCCTGCTGAGTGCTTTGCTGGCTAGAGACAGCAATATGACTCCCGCCAGTTGCTGCAGTCCTGTAAGTTGCCTCTCTTGGGAATTTTACAGATCAGTCCTCTGTTCCATTCTTTGGGCACCTTTTCCTCCTTCCATATCTGGTCAAAGGTGTGCTTCAATTCCTGGCTGCTCTTATCAAGGTCTGCCTTAAACATTTCTGTAGTTATTTGATCTGCTCCAGGGGCCTTCCCATTCCGAAGCGTCTTCAATGCAGTCCTTATTTCCTGTGTGGTGGGTGGCTCAACGGAGATGCCTAGATCTTCTCCCTTATCATGTTCGTCTTGTGGTGGTGACTCTGGCTTGTCTCTATTGAGTACTTCCTCAAAATGTTCCCTCCATCTGGCAAGCCTCGCTTCTTTATTTTTCAGCAGCTCTTCACCGCTGCTGTTTGTTTATTAATCTTTCTTGTCAGCTGTTTTACTATGCTGTACAGTTCCTTCTGCCTCCCGTTCTCGGCAGCTTTCTGTCATATTCACATCATTTTAGCAAATATGACCTATCACAGAGTCGTATTTTGGCTGGCTTGTTTCATACCAATTGCTAAGCCTTTGTTTCTATCTCAGTTTGACTACGTAATGTTTCGTCTGCCTGATCAATACATAGGGCTCATGGCGGGTAAGACCAGTCAGCAGAGGGGGATTACTCCTCTATAGGCAACTGATCCCACCTTTTACCTTGGAAATAACGGTAACTCCTGAAATATACCCTTAAAGCCGACAATAGTCTTTTTTAATGAACATGTCCTCGAATTCCGGTGGACATAGATACAGTATATGCGAATCTCTGCACGTCTGTCATTCTTTTGTGTCGAGTATAACTGGCCAAGAAAGTTATTGGAAAAGAAATGTCCCAAGAAAACAAAATCGAGACAATCCCCAAATTAATTTTGTTTTGTTTTAATTATTATTTCATGTTTTGCCTTCCGATGCAGTTGAGTGAAAAAATGGTAGATTTATAAACTCCCAATTTTAGTTTGTATCTCAAGAAAATAAAGGGGGCGTAGGTGGGGTGCAGAATACATGTACTTAACTTTAATTAAAATTATTCAGCTTAGTCAGACGTACATAATTGCGTTTTCGTGTTTTACATTTTTCTTTTTATGTATTTTTTAATATATTATACTTTTGGAGGAGATGGGATTGCATCATTGTGACCGTTCTGTATTAAGTTATTGAGTTTTTACTGCTCAAAAACAACATGCTTAGAAAGCTACTACCAAGATACCAAGTCGTTCTGTCTTCTTTTCTTGGTATCTCTTATGTGTCGAATCTCGGGAGTATGAAGCCTTCCCTGAATGATCACGTGCACCAGGTTTTTTGTCTGTTTTTCGTAACGGATTCCAGAGTCTTTAATCATTCGAATTCTCCACACTGATTGCAAAAGGAAACCACGACTTTTACTTCGATTGGACAAAGCTCTGTCCTCTATACTTCATTGGAAAAAGCTCTGTCCTCTATACTCCATTTAAGAAAGAATTGTCCTCTAGTTCCTAGCTTTGAGTTCCCAATATTTGGATTCTTCCCGGTCCGTTTTGGCCGGCTTTATGACAAAATTCTTTTAACGAAAATCTAAGCTCAGTAATAATGATCCTCTTGTCTATGTCCAGTCTCTGTTCTGTCTGGACCACATCAGGAAAGACAAAATTCGAGATCGCCCTGCTCCTGCATGTCAGCCGATCTATCTAAGAACAGATGTTCTTTGTCTTCGTGGTATGGACTTCTGTCAGTAAAACAATGGAATTTGCATCAACTCGTTGTTCTGTCTAGTAAAATTTCTCTACATATTGAAGCTCCCCGCGTAGTGTCATCCTGCTTCCAAACAGTGTTATGGCAAGTGTTGCTCTTTCTCAGGCAGTCTCATTATTTGCTCCATCACATGTCAGCAAGCTAGAGCTAGGCCTCGGAAGAAAAA